AAGTGATTAATCAACTAAACGAAAATCAGTTAATTAATTATTAACTCCAAGCTATTCGTTTGCTGAATTCCCAATAAATTTCCGCTTCCATTTCTTATTCCACGAAAAAATTCCTCTTCCCTTCAACTTTGAATAAACACTTTTTTTTCGCACCAACTTTGCTCATTCTTTCCGATGATTCATGCAGTAGTCTTATTTCTGATAATTTCATTTTATCAGTTCAGCTAAACTCGCCCACTACCATCACTTTCATCTTATTTCGTTTTGTTTTATTAGATTTCGTTCCACTTTATTTCTCGTTTTTGTTTGCCATTATTCACGAAGACGAATTATTCAAAGGAACTTGCATACAAACTCTACATCATAAAACATCCACATTTGTTGCACAAAGCAACAAATAAATGAACTCTCATTATCATCATCAATATTATTTCAACGATATCATTTCAGTGAAAATGCATCACTTCTACAATCATTAACGAGATAGTCGTTATCATTAATTACTATTATCATCTCGTTTCGTTTTCATTACAAAATTCCACACTCTACAGTACCACAGTCGTACAAGAAGCGCGCTCGGAGGACAACAGCACAAGAATACTATGGAATAAACACCCTCACCATCACCATGCAGTGGCCCCTAGGTAGTGTGTATGTAGCACACGGTATCGTGTAAAAACTGTTCATGTTCGGATGAATGATCTACTTGCATTTATGAGAATAATACGTCCTCGATAAACAAATCGTTCTTCGTAGCACCACTGATCCAGCATAATTTCTCCTAACCTTGCATCAAACAACGTCTAAACTTGCTCATTAATCACTCATCACTTGCGATTAAAAATGATCACTAAAATGAAAAAAAATGGAACTGGATAAACGATGGTTTCGGTATGGACACTGTTTGCATGCAAGCAATTCAAAGAAACGAATTAAAAATAACAACAGAAATAAATAAAACGAAAACAATGAAGCGGAAGCAAATAAACAAGAAAATGAAATATGCTGAATTGAGAGAAACGGAACAGGACGGGACGATTCCAGAACTGAATGCATGAATCATAGCAAAGCTAAAAGCGAGCGAAAGAACGAATGGATGATGTGTCATCACCAGAACACAACGAAACGAGAATGAAGCCTTATCATTATACATAAACATTTAGTTCACCCATTGAGGTTGCAGATTGGCCTCATATGTGGGTACATTTTTAAGCCACTAACCATACCATTTATTTATTTAACTAATCAGCAATTACAACTCATTGCCTCGCTGTTATCACCAATATCACATTCCTCTTTCCTTGACATCCTTCTTTCCGCGTAACTAACGATAACAACGTTGGTAATGATTTGACTTCATGAAATTCTAACATCGATTATTGATTTGGCGAGCATGGAAGTTTGGGCTACCCTCCTATAGTACCCCATGATTTCTGGAGAGATGCACTCAAAATGAGCCGAAAAATACCCTCCGATTGATCGATCAGAGCAGCTGTCTTAAACAGCCAGCAATCCTTCTAAATCAATAACAAACAACGATTTTAATTAATATAACCGAATAGAACCATTGCGATCGGCATATTTAACATTCCACATCCATTTTCACTAATACCAGTTCAATCCTTATAAGAAAGCAACTACTATTTAAATTTTGGAGAATATAATACAAATAAAGGAAGTTAACTGCTTAAAAGCATAATTATTAAACTGGCTCACGTGAAAGTGATAGAAGCAATGGTACCTTAAAAATTTAACGCAATAATTTCGGCTATAAGGATAGATGATCGGCAGCATTAATTGGTGAAACAATAAAAAGTGGAAGATAGGAGAAAATAAAATGAAAGGAGAAAGATAGGGGAAAGCAAACTCAATTTTTCATAAAGGTGTATTTGGTGCGATTTTTGACATCACTGCACCAAAATTCCAGTTACTCTACCATCACACTGCAAAAAACTAACAGAATATTGCGCACCTGTACACACAACATCCACCAAAAATTCAGATAAACGTTTCAAACGACAAAGAACGAAGCGATCAGTTGACAAATAAAAAGCAAAACCATTGAACACTTATGAAAACGAATATGGCAGGTGCATACAAAATATGTGATGCTTTCTGCATCACATATTTTAAAGGAAGATCTGCAAAAGGTTTCGTAGAAGTTGGACGACCCAATGGATAACAACAAGTTTGAATGGTACAAGAGGATGACTGTGAATGAATGAGTGAAATTCACATATTTCTGAACAGTTGAGCTGAAGGTGCAGTTTCAATGTGAACTTGCGCTAAAGGCACGAGAGACATGCATGCTTCCAAAACTTCTTTTCTGTTGTAATCGTTGAAGTGAAGTGCCGAGCGCATGTGCTCATTTTATGCATCCACGGTGTTATGATTGATTCATACCATATAGGATCATTCACTGCTACATCAACTGAACGACTGTCAATTAATCGTCGCATACAACAAAACTGCGAATGTGCAACGAGCATCACCAGCATAAAGCGTAACATTGAATATTTTGCAAAATCATTGCTATTACCACTATTATTATTGTTAGCACAACGTAATAATAACCTTATTAGCAACAATAACGATAGTAACGATGAAAATGATGAATCAACTCCGAAGCTTTCTTAAAAATTAAATAAGTTTCTGGATGGTAATTGATGACTGGATTAATTTTGCATTTCAAACCTTTGACTGGTGTGTTACCGATGATCAACACTAAGTGATTTTTAATTTGAAAAGAATTAATATGTATGGTTAACTATAACGAACATATTTTAATGAAATGAAATGATAAGATATCAATCAATCAATTAATCAGCAAAACAAGTATGTATGTATAGTTAATGTATGAACATATAGATTGAATAAGAGAGCATATTATTAGCACTATAGTCATTATTATTCACTATGAGATGAAAGGATTCTCAAATATTCGGAGAAAAAAAATTTTTTCACAACGAAAACATAATACAACAGATACACACAAACACAGTTTTGCAAGTCGAGAAATTATCAGCAGGAACCAAAGCAGTGACTACGAATGGAACTGAGCTTATCCAAAATTGAGGCTTACACTAGATATTGAGTTAGGCCAGCTTTATTCCGTTTCCGACAGCTCTGATCTCATATCGACACCTTACGACAAAATCACTGCAATAAGAATTTCAGTAGGCTGCCATCAACAGAGAGAAAACCATATATGAAAAGATAAATATGGAACCAATTTTATGAACGGATGATTCGCAATGAATCATAATAATAACAGAGCAGAAAGTTGGTAAATGGAACATCTGCATATGTAAATATCCATACTATAAGATACACACAGGATGGGACTGTTCCTTCTTAATGATAATAATAATAATATTAGTATAATGACAGTAATACATCCACCCACGAATAAAAGAATGAATGTTAAGTAACATCTGCGATTTATAATAATAATATTGTTAGAACAATGTTAATGGCGTAATATTTCTGTAGTAATGATTGTAAGAAATAACGCTTACATGAACTTAGTGATAATAATAATCGCAATTAATAGATAAATGCGTATAGAATATGATCAACTGAAAATGCAGTCCTAATAGAAGTATCATCAAAAGTACTTATACCTAGGCATAATGCAACCCTTTTCATTGTTTTGATGGGATGTATATTGGACGCGTTTATGAGACGTTTTAAAACAACGATAGTAATAATAGTAATAGTAATGATACTGATAATAACAAATAAAAAATTGAACGAATGCAAAGAACGAAACATGAGAACCTTAGTGTTTTTGCGATTATTCAGCATCATATTATGGATTGAAAATGACATTGTATAATATAAGTATGTATATGAGAATAATATTATTACTATTGGTACGATAATGCTAATGATAGTAAACTCATGCATATGTGTTTAAATAAATGCATCATTTAACAACTTTTGATTTGTTTCACATGAATGAGAGCGATTATCTTACGATAACAAAATGAATTCAGCTAACCACAACTTAAAAAAAACACACAAACAAACGACTTGTGAAGATATCTGAAAATTGGAAAATTGCGCTGCTTGCCAGGCAGTAACCCAAACTCTTGCAAGCCAATATTCTAATTACTGATCATAATGATAAAGATAAGAATAATAATAGAGTAATAAAATAATAGACTCATAATACACTCACAACCAATAAAACACACTTGAAGAAATCAAATTCATGTTATTAATGATAGTAAATCACAAGATTTGATACCTCACACTGTATGCAGTTATCACAACCACTACTATCAGTATCATCCAACACAACTCTTGTTCAGGATTGATTCAACTTATAATTTGGCTTCTAGCTGCCCTATCACCCACATCAAGTCCTGCACAATAACCGTCATATAATGATGAACCTACATTAATGCTATTCTACCGTTAAACGCGAAGAATCAAATACTAATCATAATTAACCAATAATAATCAAAAAATAATAACAGATGTGACCAAAATCAACTATCAATTAATCACTTAAAGAAAAGATCAGCTAACCACCATCCTAGCCCATAAACTGTTCAATAACCGCAAATGGATAATAACAGTAATAATAATGAAGGTAATCGTAATCACCACCATTATAATGTGATAAAATGTACAATAATATTAATGATAATAGCAATAATGATATAACACCAATCATACAATAATTTTGTTGCAATATAATGCTACAAAAGATATTTCTTCTGAATTCAACCGGCCGCTTAGAAATTGTATCGTCACGTCACTGTTTATAAGAACAACACCACCAACCCCCTAACTGACCAACTTTTCGTCGCCATCAATAGCAGCAGCAGTAGCAGCAGTATTTCAAAGATAATAGGAATAAGATAAAAATCGATCGCCTTCATCAACCATAACAATCATCATTATATCACGCCACCTCATCAGCAGTACTATCAATGTCGACCACAAACAAGCACAATCACAATACAATGATGAGTGATAACTGATAACGATTACGGTTTACTATCGAAGAACGAATAAGTCGGATTTTCATAGCCATTCACTTGCATTCCGTTCACATGTCGCTCTTCTGGTGTACACACATCAACCTGATTATGAGAAAATTTCAATTCTTTAATCAATCCATTTTTCTAATGAATTCATTATTAAATTATTATTATTATTCTAATGAATTAAATTCATTATTAAAAAAACATTATTATGTCGCATTCCCACTTGTATCTTCTCAGTATTGCTCGTGAATTTAAATGAGTAGTTAAAAACTTTTACTGAATACAATATTTTCTTCTACTGATTCTTCAAAATAGTTCATTCATTCTTCTTTGCATTAAACTTAATGAACAAAATAAATTAACAAACGAACGAATAAACGACTGAATGAATGAACCTCAATAAAACCAGCATGTCGAGATCGACGACGTGTTACAACAATCGCGAAAACTGCGATAATGATTGTTGCTGAAGCAGCAAATACCAACAGCATATGTGTCGATGCACCCAAATGAGGTGATGACGAATGCTGATGATGTGCCGCATCCACCTGAGTTTCATTAACAAAGTAACATTTGAATCGTTACATTTATATTTATATTGCACTCAATGAATGTATGAATGATAAAAAAACGAATGAAAGAATAAACGAGCAACCTTATGCTGTATGAGCGGTTCATGTTTAGCGTACGATGGACGTGGTGCTAAATCATGAATTCTTACATGTTCTTCGCTGACAATCGGCTCAATTTCGACATGTAGCTCGCGTTCAACTGATCTATCAGCTGAATCCAACGAATCAGTCACTGCCTCATCATCATCGTCCTCATCCTCATCATCATCGTCATCTTCTACTTCGTCGTCCTTGAATTTTCTTTGTACATATTCCAACTCAGCACTCAGAGAGGTAATGCATTATGTTTTCCATCAAGTAAGTGAATAACATTCAGTACCGGACAAGATCAGACGAAAGCATGAACAATGCTTATTGGGTGAATGAGTGAACGAACTAAACTGCCGACAAACCAAATAAGCAATAAGAGAACAATAAACAAACAATCTTCCACCAACCTTTTCATTACTTATGAACATTTCCTTTTCATTAATATTTCTGCTAGCACTATTGCTACTATGAATAATTGGTTTCTTAACAATTTTCTCAATGGCAATTTTATGCGGCGATGAATTTGCACCATCATTTTTGTTGTTGCTATGTTGTTGGCGAGAGATAATCGCCGACTTATGTTTCTTAATCTCATCTAAGGTCAATCCACTTATATCCTCCTCGTCCTCCTCTTCATCATCGTCGTCGTCGTCATCGCCATCATTTTCATCGCTGATATCCTCATCACGTGTTGCCACAGCACCAGTCTGAAACATCAACAATATGAGAGTAATACGATGAATTCGTTCTTTCTATTACTTTTATTATTACCTTCGACTCAACTGACTCAGCCAATGGTTTTTGCGTTGTTGTTAGTGGTAGTTTCCTCACTGCACCTGGATTATGGATACGGTCGAATGAATCCTGTAAGATTACTTCCTTGCATTACGTTACAAATTTAGCACAAACAATTAATATGATAATAATAATGACAACAACAACAATAATAATAACACCATGAAAACGAACTTTATACATCTGTACGAGTCTCACATTTTGTTCATCGCCACCAATCGTCGTATATTCATCGTCAGTCACTTCGGGTGTATTTTCCCGACGATAATCCGACCAAAACTCAACTGTACAATCCAATTATCAAACCAGCTATACAAATAAAAATTGTCTGTGTAAATAAACCAGAAACAATGCGAACGAAAACAAACTTGCAATCGGCCGAATTTGTCTTTCCAGCTCAGGGAAATCACGAAGCATTGCCAGAGTTCCATTAATACGCAAATCAATATAACGCAATCGATGCAACAAAATTGGCTTGAACGCTTCAGCTTCGGCCTTGAAAATTGCACAATTGTGCACCAATTTTAAAAAATTCATAACATTTTCGAACCAAAAAAGCAATCATCCCTGGCAATCATATCTTTTGCCGAGACAATGCTATTCGAAAAGTGAATTTCTCAGGAAACTTAATGTTGCAACTAACAGCATTCAACTAAGAGACTTCATGTGCAGTTTCAAAAGAACAGTGCCCCTGCCCATTTCGTCACTAAATTAATCAGACAAATAAAAATTATGATTACTAAATGTCCACACATCTTACAATAAAACTCACTTGATCCGTTCGAAGCAAATGTCGATATCTATTCAGCATATGCGTTCGATCCTTTTCTTCAGCACGAATGTAAGTCTTCAATAAGAAACAACACCATAAATCTATTTTAGAGAGTTAGCTGATTGTTAAGTCCAACAACAAAACGTTTCATCTAATTTTCATGTCGACCATAATCAACAATCGATAACCAGAAACGCTCTAATTTTATCCTTCGATCTATTATTATTATTACTGTGAAATGACAATTGTGATTGACGATAAAATAAAACAGAAACAAACAAACAAAGATGTATGTAAACCTTCAATGTTTTCAAAACATTATGCTTATTCGTCGTTCCAACTTGCATGGCTAACGCTGCACGATAATCGTGTGTTGCCTGTTAATATTAACGATGACAATCATAACAATAATAACAACATTTATTATAAACAATCCAAAATACCTGTCGTTTCTTTTCGTTAAGATTCGCTTGCACACGTTCTTCATGAACGTCTTCTATTTGCTTCTTCTGCTCCTTGTTCTCCTCTTCCAAAGATGCTACCTAAAATATCATTACTAGAAACTCATTTATCCGTCTAACTATGACATTTACAACTCATAACTTCTGAGTCTCTTTTATAAATCATCAACAATAATAGCACTTTCTTTCAACTCTTTCTTTTACACAGGTAACGAACGCTATTAGCTGTATATGATAATCATTCAATAGTCTCCTTCGAATAACCTAATCTCGAGCATTGGTTTAGCGATCATACAAGTGACACAGTAGTCACCTACCGTTTTCTGGAATCTGGATGTCATTTCAAGTTTGAATGCTTCGGCACCTTTTTGATCAGTTTGCTTCATTTTCTTATAACGAGCTTCTAGGTCACTCCATTCACGCATTACCTTCAACAGCATACATTCGTTTCTTTTTGTTTTGAAAAACAGCGAATTAGACAAAAAATACCATCTATTTATGTGTAATTTTCATGTGATCGGTAACCTTTAATGACAGTTACTTCCATGAGCACCTATTAGCATGACGCTAACGGAAAAATATCAAATGTTCAAAACAGTTTCAACCCAGGCTCGGGATTAGCCTTAAACTGTCCCCTTGGTTCGAGTTGAGCCTTCTGACCTTATCAATTTTCGCGCGATGCTTTTTGTCGAGTCGTTGTCCAGCTTCTTTAAAGCGTTCATGCTCGTTTATTGGATCTGATATCTTGAAATATGGATCCTGCTGTTGTTTGTTGCTTCCACCTCGTTTCGTCGTATCAACGACTTCTTTATCATCCTCTATAAAAATAAAACTTATCAAAATCAGAACAATGAACCTTAAAAAAGTGTTCAATAAGCAACACCAACCGTCGTCTTCATCCGAATAATCTTCATCATAATCATCATCTTCATCATCATCCATGTTCTCACTGCCCTCATCTTCGCGACCGTAATGCTCTCCTACCGTTTTCTTATCCAAATCAACAACCTTATCGATGTGTTGCTTTTCTAAAAATCAACTAATAATAATAACAATAACAATGATAATAATAATAATAATAATAATAATAATAACAATGATAATAACAACAATATGAGCGAACCATCTGGAATATGATGATTATGACTATGATGATTATTATTAGGCGATGGACAACAAACGAACTCAACACCAGTGAACAGATCCAAACCGCAAGGCTCAAGCACAGCGAATGATCGCAAGTTCATTCGTTTTCCGTCAGCTACCTGCAAAAAGTTTGTTTCGGCGTGTCACTAATACAGTCAAAATAATATTAAACACTCACTTTCGATTGGCATTGTTGATGTGCTTCATCTTTCCAATGCGCATAATTGTTACATGACTGACGATCGTTCACATGTCCAAAACGACAACCATGTGGTACTTGTAACGCCTCAGAATGAAATTCACCCACTGAAATATTTTATCAAAATTGATTTTCAAAAACAACGTCTCAAGAGACGACATGTACAAATACGTACAATAATGAACTAGATGCACAGTCTGGATACAACTGAACGAAGTACTGACTATAAGTTACATGCCAACAAAAGAAGCTTTCAATGCAGATCGATCTCAAGTCCCAAGTGCATCGGAAAAATGACTTTGCATAAGGCTCGTTGCTCAAGTAAATCTATAAAAGAACAGCAGTCATCCGGCTTACAAGTTTCAGAACTAGAAGTTACATCACGCCAGTTTAAAACTCAGCCCCACTCATATGGATACAGCGCTTATAATTAGATTCATTTCTAGGCAATGAAAACCTGAAAATACGTTCACCTATGATTTATTTGAAAAAGAAAAACATTCACAAAACAAAACAACATGAGCGGAATGAACAATGTTCATCATTTACATACCGATACATTGATATGGGCGCACTGTATGCGTCCACTTGCATGGCTTTCCGTCTTCACGACACCATGAATCTATCTTAACTTCATGTGAATATTCGACTATATTTGTGATATCCAATCTCGGATATGCCTGAAAAAAATCTTTCTGGTGTACCGCTTTCAACATCTTTCTTGTGTACTGCTTGAGCAACCGAACGTGAGAACCACTGATCAATCCCATAGAAGTGAGTGAGTGTCGCCGTTTGTCTCCTCGGCTCAATAACCTTTTCTTTAATCTTCTCACAAATCACTTAGGCTTCAATATAATAGCACTACCACTACCTACAGTTCTTCTCCGTCCACCCATCCCCTCTGATTCGTTCATCAAAAATAAGTACGTTTCTATATACACATTCACACCTCATTAAATGAGAAGTATCATCACATACCGCATGGATGAACAATCAAATAAATGTTTCTTGCGAACATACCATGCACACAATAGGTTGTAAACAGATTTATAAAAAATTCGTTACATGCATTATACTATGAAGTCAATAAAGACATGCTTGTTGCTCATGTATAGTTTGCATTATTCAACAATACCAACACATTCTATTCTCTCTGACAACAATGAATGCATTACATTTATTGCTAATTGATTCAGATTCACACCCATCGTCACATGAACAAATCCACTTAAAAATCCATCGCTCACACACAATCATTATTATTATCATTCATTCATTCGTTCCCTTCCAAATTTTTTCACTTGAATTACTATTTTGGTGATCATTTAAACTATCACAGAGAATGAACACATTATGAAAAAGCAAACAGCAACCAAATCACAAACTCCATTTCATTGTCTAACTGATAAATTTTCTTAACTGTAACGTATCATTGTACGAACGTTACGTTACGTGTTACGCATAATGTAACGCAATAATTTCAGATACAGTATCATTTCTTCTTGTTCAAAAAGCTAAAAGTGAAATTGCTTCTGACATTTCGAATTGCACTCTCCCTTTCTTTGTCATCATCCGTTCACTTCACTCATAAGGTTCAATATATCTAGCTAAAATCTCTTTAAATCATTCATGTTTTCGACACCATTATTTTCACACATGCATTCCTTACTTGCTCACCTCAATTCATTTACAACACACTTATTTATGCATACCAATGCACTCCTTTCACATATTTTATTCATTATACTAAATTTATTTTGTCTTCGTATAAATGAAACATTCATGTGAATAAATGAATAATAATGAATAAAAGCATTTGAATAATACATAAATATATTAAAAATACACCACATTATCTAACAAGTTTAAATTATCCCAAATGTCAATAAACGAAACTGATTCTAAATTAAAGCATCCCACTAAGTGCATTCTATACTGCAATTCCTCAGCCTCGCAGTTATTGATTTAGCACCACGAAATATTACTGCATACTAAACCATACGCATTTCATATCTTATGAATTACAACACTTTATCATTCTTCTTTCCATCTCAACTAAAATCTTCGTGGAAGCCATAGCGCTTCACGGAACGGAAAAATAATCAGTCAATATGATGAGGGTTGCTGGATTAAGCTAAGAAGGAATGGTGAAAAGCGGGAACGCATCCATCTATATTCCACAAGACAGTGTAAAATGAGACGCAGTTACCCGCAGGCAGCAGATTGCTTGATCACAGATGACCGGAATAAATTTCAAACTGGTTACTTTTCAGATGGATGTTACCCACTTACCGTCTTCACTTATGAATTTATCATCGGTTCATGGATGAAATTTATGTTTCTCATATTCCTACTATTGCGCTGAACCATGTACAGCAGTGGTTATCAGTGCAATAAATTACTAAATGAACAAAATAAAAAAAATTCAATTCTAACCTTATGACAATATTTCAGAATGTCCAGTTTACCCTTTTGACATGTCGCATAACGATTCGCATCATTCACCCACTTACCGTCTTCACTCATGAATTTATTACGAAAACCGCATTCAAACGCCACTAACGGAACAAACTTCTCATGTCGCTTCTCTGTTCGAGAAGAATCAACGTTGGCTGCCATACTCTAAAATATTATCATCACACTTTTCTTACCATTATCACTCTCTACTAAATGTTCAAACGTTAACAGTCACAGTAATTTCAACATCGCTGCTTCATTAATTTTCAGGTCATCGCAGATATTCCAGTGTTATTCCGTTCATAGCTCAGATATTCCACTGTTGCTTCCGTTCATTCAGCTATCTGCATTTAGCCGTAAGCACGCCAATAAAAAAAGATCACAACTTTCTTTCTCGATAAAAATTGCGTTGAAAACCTTTTTCTATATGAGACAGAACGTCGAACATTTTGAAAATGCGAGATCGTTCAGATGTAAAAACAGTTACAATTACGAATGTTCTACCGAACAACTGTAAATTAATAAGAAATTAGATATATAATAAATATATAAGTGAACATGAATCAATTTTATCTCATTCACCTCAATATATGTGGCCAAATCGGATGGAAAAGCCAGCAATAAGAGCACGATCGAATAATAAGCTGCCCTCATTGTTCTGAAAATTGCAAATGAAATAGTCAAAACCATAACATTATCATACAACTAACATCAGCACATAGTGATTTAATGAATACACATCTCGATCTTATAACATACGTCAATTAGAGAACACAACATTCATACAAACAAATGCTATATTCACAACAATAATCAAGCAACATGTTACAAGCATAAGAAAGACTGTTCGTATCCCGGCTGCTTTTCTGTTTGACTGACAACCGATGCTGATACTGTAGTACTGCACTACAACTTTCCGTTACTAATTTCAAATCCAAGAAAAATAAGATGACGCAAAATCGCTGAGATGAATAAGTTGAATATGTGAAGTATACGAGTTGGCTGTGGTTATGCAACGGTTTGCTACAGAAAAGAGCAGTTAAAACTTAAGAAATGAAGTGGAAGCAAGACAAAAAGATTCAACCAAATCAATCTCATGATTCAACTAAATAAGTGCAAAATAAACATGATTTTTTCCATCACTTGACTTAGACCAAGTGTACTCAAATTAGTAAATAATACCTATAAATAAAAATACAAACGCAACGAATCAAGATTTTTTTAAAATGCTGCATGTTGTCCTCTACCTAATCACCATCACTCAATTTATCGCACAACGTCAAATGAAACAGGCAATTTCACTTGTTGCAAGGTTTACTAATACAAATTATTCGAAGCATCATACCACTTCCAACGACAATAACGATAACAGCACCCAGCGATCAAACGAACAAATCTAACGAATAAAGATAAGTGCAAAAACAGTACGATCAAAATCGATCGAAATCAATTCCACCTTATCATCAACACGACTTTTAGCATACAATAAAACTTTCTTCCAAATTTTCCAAAATCTAATGTTCAATTCTTTTGACACTTACTTCACACCTTTTCTTTAATTTGCCACAACTCTAACTCTTTAAAGTTCACTTTATTTTCACCGAAGAAAGGTCAAGTCAAAGTTATAAAATCAACCGATAATGGTAACGTGACGATCAACCGGTTGATCATCACAGTGCAATACACAATCAAGTGCATGAATACTGATGGCTGCATTACTCGAAGAGCTGCTAACAACAAAGATATCAACACAGAGAAAAACGATAAAAATGAGACTCCGTTTCCAAATTAAAATTGTTGTTTGAGGTAGTGATGAGAAGTGAAATGGAATTGGAACGAAATAGAAAAGAGAATACGATGAGTTTCTTTCTCGGTCCCGTTTCGTTTACTTGAAATGAACAAAAAATGAATCTGATAAAAAGGAACAATTTTTTTCGCCATCAAATTTCCGTCTCCTCATTCTCCTATTTGTCCTTTTGCTGTTGTCAGCGCATTCGACTCGATCAAATAGATAGATATTTGCGGTGGATACGAACAAATTTACATTGTGTGAAAATATAATTTTCTCATTTATTTCTTCTCACACCCTCAAAACAAAAAAAATTCAACCACAAAATCTAACAACCAACAAGTGAAGTTTACTCT